CCGGTATTGGCGCCTTTCGTCGACTCTGAACCGTAGGAGGGTGAACGGAGGGCGTCATCTTCGGTCGGCTGAGATGACGTCGTGCTCAGACCATGCAACATTGTCCATTTACTCAAGGTCCGACTGAACAGGCTCTCTGGCGGCGAGGACTCCGGAGTTAGAAAGATCATTCGCTCACCTCCCGAACGTTTGCCGTCTGGACCTGATCGGTTCGAGGCCTCCGAGGAGGGAAACGAGATTGTGGACGTGTTTGAAGGGTCCAGATTGTCGCTGACTGTGTCGGAGGTCGGGTCGTTGTGGCCCTTGTCAGTGGTGACGTCGTTGCATGATTCCTGCGGCATTTGCTGCGCGTCGGTGTCGCTCAGCCCAAAGAAGCAGCTGGCCACTTTTTGGGAAAATTCCTGTCGGTTGGTCGACCGGAGGCAAAAAAGATAACATCCAAGAGGTTATGAACAGAGAATCGCATCACACCGCCACAATTAGCGAATTTCGGCCTGAAATGGTGTCATCAATGAGGTGGCAGACATGCATTTTCCATGCATTGCACTACATTACTCATATTTGTAGTGAGTAGTGAGTTTGAACAAGTGTTGCGAGGACCACTGGTGTTAAATTCCACATTGAAAAAGTAGGCCTCATGATACAGTTTCATCTTTCAGCCGAATAATTTGTCTTACTTCCTCAAAGAGCCGGCTTTTACACCTACCGGAAGAAGCAAATTTAGATTTTAATGCCTCTAATTATTGGACCTACTTCCATTTGGGCTGAAATTGTGTGGCTCAATCTCACTGCAAGTCACCATTTTACTTGTTGACAACGCCCCAGAGAAAATAGTCCTCTAGTCCGGTGAAAATGGGCTAACTTTCCCACCGTCATATGAAGGATGGGCATTCTTAGAATAGGGCATTATTCTTACAACAATATTCAGGATAACGTTTTTATAAAATACACAAAGACTTTATTAGCTTAAGTAATATTCCAATGACGAAGCATGGGTGTGCGTTTGCTTGCATGTTCATACACCTTCATGTGTGTATGTGTGTGTGTGTGCATGAAACTATAAATGTTAGTTTAGAATAATTAAAATAAAAAGTAGCACCTGTCGTTGGTAATCAAGATTTAATGACCA